CTTCCGATTTGATTTGAAACTGTCTCATTGCTATATGTTTATCAATAAAACTTCGAAAAAAAAAAAGAAGAGAAGCTTAAAACCCCCTTTGAGGAATGCTGGGAGGTTCCAGGGGGCTGCTCTCTCAGAGTGGGGGCACAGGACTGCTGCTGCGGTGGGCTGAGTTTTAATCCTGTCCATCTCTTGTCTGCAAATGTAGGCGCCTCAATTCCCTTTTTTTTTTCAATAAGGTATTATTCTACCTTATAAGGTAGCTGTGACAATCTCAGTGAAAGCAAATGAAACAATCCTTATGAAAGCATTTGCTAAAGTATTAAATGCTGCCCGAACAGAAGGCATAGATCCTGATGGTGGTGGTGAAGATAGTCTTTTGATACAGATCTAATAAAAAAAAAATCAAGGGAAAATTGTTAATTGGAAAGTTAATTGTTTTCCTTCTCCTCTAAGGATGCCCCCATTTAATTCACTTTTTCTTTATTGAACTGATGGAACAGATTTTCTGTGCAGTTAGAAAGACGCTATGGCAGCATGTTAGAGCCACGGGGCATTCTGGGTAAACCTTGTTTGGCAGGATCCTGAGGCTTGGCAAGGGACTCTCTCCTGGACCAGGCTTCACGCGCTTCTGCGAGCAGATCCAGTTTAACCCAGTTAGACCCAGTTTGCAAAGGAATTGTTAGTGTCAGAAGGCTGAACATTATGAAAGTAGGTCACGAGAACCACTATTTATCTCTTAAACCATAGGCCAGCTCTTATTTTTTGGAATCTTAAGTTTTTATTTGCTAGTTTGTATACAGGTCATCAGTAGAAGGTTGAGCAGTGAATAAACTGGGACTATATTTATTTATGAGCTTCACTGGGCCAGTTCAGTCTTCCAGGTGGAAACAATCGTCTATTACCTGCTGAGTATAGCTCTTTCCAGCTCAATTGTTAAGAATCAATAGTCTTTACCTTCTCCCCACATTGACTAAAAAACCTAAGGCCCTTGGGAGATACCTGACGTTTGATCTTAACCCACTGCCTGTGCAATCTGTCTTTCCAGAATGGTCTTGAAGGTCAAGCAATGATGTCAACACAGATGCTTCCTAACTGCAGAATAGCAGGAGGGACACTCCAGGGGCTTGGGATGCAAAGCAGGTAGGACACATCCACAGACTTGAGTCGTGACTGCTCTGTCAGCCTTGGATGGGCAAGGACATGCCAGGGGGACAAGGGAGCAATGGCAAGGCTCTGAAGCCGAGTGCAAGGCGGGGGGAGAGGGTCGCTCACACGGCAGCAGCCACGGCCCTTCCCCGGCACACAAGCACACTCAACCCATAAGACGTACCACTGGCGGTCCCGGTACCACTGGCCGAGACAGGTCCAGGGGACGAGACCACAGTCCTGTAGGTGGGTGGTGGTGGGGGAGGTGGAGTTGCTCTCTGCCCCAACCCCAAGTCCTTAGGAGATGAGATGGCTTCTAGGTAATCATCTTTCATGAAGCTCTGCTCAGCCACTTTCTTCTGGACTTCTTCTAAATTGAGTGGAGACGGTACATTTCGAGGAGGACCGGCAGGCCCCGGGGGAGCCGGAGGTCCTGGGGGGCCAGGAGAGCCTGGAGCTGGGGAGTCTGCTGGGTTGTCTGATGTAGCCTCTAGGGATGCCAGCTTTTCACTTGGAGTCAGCTCTGGAGTGACATGTTCTGGGGATGCATCAGAAAACTGCACCCACTTCTCTTCAGTGTTAACAGCAACAGACTTGGGGGACAGCACTGGGCCAAAAATGCTGTCCAAGTCATTGATGGATGGAAGGTTTTCAGTTTTGGCCTCTGTGGCTGACTGGTCATTTCCTGTGGTTAAAGTAGTTGATTTTAAACTTGTAACTAACTTTGTTCATCTTAGTTGTAAGGGGGAACGGGAGGGCTGAGCCAAGCCAGGGCAATGTATTTCCTTGGGAGGGACCGGGTGGCAAAGTGTCAGATTATGGGCTGAAAGGAGCCTGGGGTTTTCATGTTGTCATTTACTCTTTGGTAAGGTGACCGCCCGCTGGCCGTTTCTATGATCGCTGAAAGTGCTGTGGGAGACACCCCTCTCTGCAGGATGCCCAGCACAGAGCAGGTGGTGGTAAGGCTCACAGGGAAGTGCAGACTCATCTCCCAGGGGAGGCTGTATCTGGATATGGGGCCTGAGCCCATACACACAGCCCTCATTGTCTACTCTAGGCCAGGGAGATAGCGCGGTGGTTTAAGTGCCTGCCTGGCAAGCACAAGGGCGTGGGTTTGACCTCAGGTACTGCATGCTGTGCTGGACCCAGAACCCTGGGTGCACCATGCCAGCCACCAAAACTGGGCATGTGGCACATGCCTGTAATCCCAGAGCTTTGGAGTCCAAGCTGCATAGTGAGACCCTGTACCAAATAAATAAATTGAAAAAAAAAAAAAAAAGATTGCCTACTCTAGGACAATAAATAGAAATACTAGGAGACACTAAAAATATCTATTAGTTCAAAAAGAATGGACGTCACTTTTAGTTGTAGGGCTTCTTACTTTAAATATACCAGAAACACAGTGCAAAGATTAGAGATCCTCATACACACATTTACACACACACACACACACACACACACACACCATGTACACACACCAGCTACTGAGAAGGCACCTGGTGCTGATTAGGATTGCTATGTGTATACCTGTTTATTAGGGAAGAAAATCACAAACACACCTTTATAATTGGTTTTCTCATCAAATCTAACCTGTTGACATCACATGCGTAACTGTGATACCTGTGATCTTCTGAAGGAGTGATTCAGAAAACGCTTTTTGTTCTAAACATTAACAGGACTATTCGTTTAAATCTGTATCACTAACACAAGGGTAAGAACTATCTTCCACGGCTGGCTGGAAATATCTGATGACACGTGCCATTTGAAGAACTGTAATTATGTTTTTAACTGAGTTTATTCAAATTGGAAATTGCTACCTAAATAACTGGAAGGCATGACCAGAAGCCAGTTTGCCTTTACATAACTTCTGGGCTGTAAGAACTGGTTTGAAAGTCCCATATTTCTAGTCTCAAAGAAATTAATCTTGAAGGCTGCAAGCTTACAGAGCAACGGGAGCGTCTGCGTGACCCACCACATTCATAATGATGCTGCCAGGAGGGCTGCGGACCGCTAACATAATTCACGGGCGCGCAGGCAGAACCCGTGGCCTGGGCTCAGAGCACCCGGAATCTGGATGATTCTCTGTCAGGAGTGAGTCAATATAAATTTGATAAACGACTGAGTCGCTCCTCTTTTGTTGATAAATATCCTACTCTGTACTTATCAAATTCACCAGACCACCTAGATAGCAAAGGTTGAAGCTGCAGTAGAATTTCAAAAGTGATAGAAGACCGCACTCTAGGGCACAGGTACAAGAAACAGCTCCTGCTGCTTTAGATCTGCAGGTACGGTGAGACCTGGCAGGTTAAAAACTGTAGGAATACAGAGTGCTGATTGCAGGAGACAGCCCGGGTGTGCATCGTAAGTCATCTGTCTAGAAGGCAGCGGCAGTTCCTCGCCAGCCATGATCTCTGTGCATCTCTTCATAGGAGACAGCAAACACCCGAAGAGCTACTCCTGGGAGAAACCCTCACCAGCGGCCCACAGCCCAGCCGAGAAGCCATGTGCCGATGCTGCAGACTGGATGGTTTCAGTCCTAGCCAAAGTTTCATTGGTTCTTGGAAATACACAAATCGTGCTTTGAGGCTACTTAGGTTAAAATCATTAAAACGTGATTCGAGAAAATGGGCGGTTCCTTAAGCCATGATTTTTCCTACTATGAATTTTTGTTTTATTTTTTTTTATTGGTAAATGTGGGTCTTCTCTACAATATTACACTGAGGACTATCCTGACTTGGTGAAGCGTGGTGTGGTTTTGAAATAAGCCAGCACAATGAGCTGCACTGGAAGCCAGGTGAACTGCCAGCGATGTCCTACCGCCGCGGACTGCAGTGAGCTGACAAATGCCAACACATGCAGGGCAGGGGGAGGCCCCAGGCCGCTGCTTTGGTGCCAGTCAGACAGGGGGACAGAAGAGGCCTAAAGTTTACCTGGTCCAACCGTTAAGGGGGATCCTGTACGAGGTGGGGTGGCTGGGACGTTTTTCGGAGGCAGTGGTGGAGGCGCTGGGGAGAGAGGAGGCACGCGTTAGTGACCGAGCTCCTTCTGAACCACACACGATAGGCAGGCAGGACGGTTCGCGTCACTGACACGCTGGGTACTGGACATGGAGTGGCCACTCACAGTTATTCAACTTCAAAGCCAAAACCCTGAAGCAGTAGCCACTCAAGATCCTCCATTTTGCTAAAACAAGAGTTTGTCAGGAGGAAGTTAGACAACAACAGCAATATCAATGTTTTACCCATTCAGATATTATTTTCAAACTTCATACCACAACTAAGTCTCATCTCCTGCACCAGGGGGAGGAGATGGAGGAGGCTTTGTGTTGGAAACAGCCTCCGGGAGTGCATGACCGCCAAGGAATATTGTACTCACGGGCAGCTACGTCCCGGGGAGTGGTAACTGGCGGGTGGAGTCTCAGGGAGGCGTTTCTAACCCAGCGTTGATATCATCCTCTAAATTGAGGCCAGAAAGATTTCTTAAACTTATAGTTCTTAAGTTTTAGTATATTTTTCAAAGTCAGAAGCAAAGTGACTTGGATAAAAAATAAGTGACAAGATTCTATTCATAAACTGTAGCGAAACAAAATGTTGAGAAAAGAAGCTTCGTGTTAAGGCCCTTACTAAGGCATTTGCCCTTGTAAACCGGGCTTCATTTGGGGATGAAGTTAGAAATTATGTTTTTGTTTTCTTTTGTACTTTAGGGAAGGGTCTACAGGGTGTTCTGGGTCTTACTACTAGATCAGACTCGTAGTGATCCGCCTGTTTACAGCCTCCCAAGTGCTGGGATTACAGGCACATACCACAATGCACAGTCTCAATTGCCATCTCAGCACGCCCCAGGGGCAGGGCCAGCAAGGCAGGCCCAGGATTGAACCCCTGGCCCTTGCGCCTACTTGCAGGCACTGCAATCCACTGACCTATTTGGCTGGCCCTAAAATTATGGTTTTTAATGGCTACATATTTTTCCCCTCCTTTAAGTGTATTATTTTGTTACTGTCTGTGTTTGGTAGATTCAAAGTGTGAACCTGTTGATGGACGTACGTGCTGTTAGAGCTGTGTCTAGCTTGTCCCCAAAGCCACCTGTGCCACCTGTGCTCATGGGTGGGGCTTCTGGAGGTGGGTGGGTCTGGAGTGTGTGATGCTGGGACCAAGTGTATGAGATAAATGGGTTCAGCACTGTGCTTGGAGTGGAAGACGGAAGCCCCACCCTGAGCAGCAGGAGTGAGCAGAGGACCTGAGGCTTCACGTCCGTGTCCCCGCTGTCCTGCCTGAGGCTCTCACTGCCACACTGCCTTGCTCCTCTCTGCTTTCCGTGTGTCCTGAGCTGCCTCGCTGCTCTGCACGACTAGCGCCTCTGTGTCAGGTGACAGCCCAGGGCTTGAGCCATGACTTCTTTGGCTCATTTCCATCTTGTTCTTTCACACACAGATGGAATGAAGGAATGGGTGAAGGAAGGAAACCGGTGAGCGAGCGAGACCCCAGAAGATGCCCCGGCTCACGGTTCCCGGTTCTGTTCACTGTGCTGCTTTCTCACTGCTTAGCCCGCCTGCCATGGCCTCTTTAACTCCGAAAGCTCGTTTGCACAAGGGCATTTCTTCTCCCTCTTCCCCACACTGTGCAGTTGAGCTGTTGCTTATGTAGACTCCCCAGAGCGGCCTGATTTCACCGCAAAGGCAGACAACACAATGAGTCTCTTCTTTTTCCAGACAGCAGACATATAACTTACTTCCAGTGGGAAAAGGCCTTGTTAGCTTGGGTGACTCCAGGCTCGGATTAATTGGTTGGCCTGAACCCCATATCTCAGGTTGATCTAAAAGAACTGGAAATACAAAAAGAGAATTTCCCAAGGTAAGTTAAAAACAGAACCACCCCCAGCCTGACTTGAGAACTTAAACTTTCAATTTAGCTGAGTTTCACAAAATAATCTCCTCCTTGCCTCATACTGGAAGATTAATTTAGGAATATGCTGCTTTTTATTCTTTTCAAGCAGAGACTATAGCGTGGGGTGCTAGGGTGTGAAGGGGGTGTCTCTCTCTATATATATAGCTATAAAAAATCTTTCAAAATAGAATCTGCGTCTCCTGCCTGGTCAGCCACTTAAGGATATTCTGAATATCAGTACCCATACTGGCTCCGCGTCTGGTACCCATGAGAACTCAAGCACGAATGTCATGGAAATTTGCTTTGTTATAAGGTGCTTTATTTAAAGTGAGCTATAAAAATGGTTTGAAGCTGAAAATGTCTAGGTTCTCTGCAGTGGTTTCTATCTTTATAGGTGTTCTAGGGTCCTTAAATAAACCTTGCACACCAAAAAAAGCCACACTATTCTGGGAATGCTCAGCGAATATCTGCAGAGAACCAGAAAAGTAAACAAGTACTCAGGTATCTGAAATAAGTCAGGGCAATTCGGTATTGGGCCCGGGGACATAGAATTTATTTATTTAGGCAGAACCAAGGATTGAACTTGGGCCCTTGCGCTTGCCAGGGAAGTGCTTAATCCACTGAGCCATCTCCCCAGCAAAATTTAATATTTCTTTCTTTTTCTTTGCTCTTGGTTTGATGTTTAAATATTGCTATGGTAACCATGTACCTGGCCCACACTTCTCAGGAAGGGCTGCCACAGTGCATTACACTGGCAGTTCCAGCCTGGAGTCAGGTGGACCTGGCTTTGAATTTAGTTACTAGACTTACTGTGGACTGTGGGCCAGTCATGTGGCCTCTCTGAGCTGCATCCCTCCAGTCGAAAGTGGAAAGGACTAAACATCCCCAGGAGTTAGTGGTGTGCTTGAAAAAGACAATGGGCATAAGCAGAAGTCCGTGCAAGGCACACGATACCCTGTCACAGAGGCCTGGGGCTCTACTTGGGGATGGCACTGTGATCCTCACGACACGGCCGTGTGATTGCCGCGGCCGCTTTGGGGAGAGGAAAGAGTTTCGAGTGATTAAATAATTTGGCTGTAGAGAAACCAGAAGAGAGCCAGACATATTGATCCCAATTACAGAATCCCCCTCCCCCATAACAAGCGTTTAAATTAGCGATTGGGAGAATCAATCAAAAAAGCGAGGGGTCAGAAAGGGACCGTGGGCGTTAGAAGAGGGGGAGTTCGGGGCACAGTGGGGGATTCTACAGAACTTTAGGGTGAAACTACTGGGGGGGCCATCAACACAGGACTGTAGCCACATGCTCCCACCTGCAGGGCACAAGCTGTGAGATCCTGCGAGGGAGCATTGTTTTCCTGACTCCAAGAGGGGACACTGCCTTGATGTGCGAGGCTTGTTTCCACTTTTTCTATCCAGCTTGCTTACAGTTACGGAATTTCTTAAATAGGTGGATTCAGGGCTAACAAGTCAAATCCCATTTCTGGTCACCTTACAATTACAACCTTAGCGGGGAACCTGATCATGCTGGTTAATAGGACAAAGGGAGCCTTCCTGCGAGGCCACCTTTACACTGGGTTTCTGAGTTAGGACACCGAAGGCCCTGGAGGGAGTTCCTGGATGCTCTTTATTCTTGTTCCTGACTCAGCCCTTGGAAGATTCAGGTGTAGCCCACTGCCAGCTGTCCACCAGACCCCTTCTCCATTTCTCTATAATGAAAGAGCCCCACGCAGCCACCCCACACCAGGTTCTCCCTGTGGGCTTCAGCAAGAAGTGGAGCCTTTCCTTTTGCCCTGGGCAGCAAGCCCACTGGCCCTGCAAGGCCCCTCTCCTGATCATCAGGGGAGGAAGCCAGCTTAGCCCTCCTGGACTCAGAAGTGACACAAGGGTGAAGCCCTCAGCCCTAGACGGCTTTCTTCTCCTCCGTGAATGTGAAGCAATTTCTCCTGTGCTGAGTTTCCTGTCCTTTGAGGTCTCTGTTAATCCCAGTGAGCCTGGGTTAACTGCTCCTCAGATTTCTAGGTTTCGCCCTCCTTGACTTTTGAGGCTACTCCGTGGTGCGTCCTAGCAGGCCCTTCCAGCGCATGTGCACTGGGTGCTCCCAAGCCGAACAACTTTTATAAAGACACTGTGCTGTCCAAGCTGCCTGCCAGGGGCACACGCACCAGGCACAGACCCATCTTGGGAAGGGACTGGATCTCTTTCTGAGAGGGCTTATTTCATATCAGCAAGGGATACCTTATTTTTCACATGGAAAACATGGTTGAAAACTCTAGAATAAAGACTTAACAGGTAAATACAGCAACAGTGCCACAAAGGAAGGTTTGTCTTTTTCTAAGTTGCAAAATGGGTGAAAATCATTCCTGGCTCTCTGAGTCAGCAAACAGCAATGGCGGTGAGTGAGCCAAATGCCACTTGCACCCGCAGTCGATGTGGCTAGAGTCTAGATCAGAGCGGCAGTGACATCGCCTGTGTGGGGCGGTGGCTTCCCGCACGCCTCTGCTTGCACCTCCCTCCCTGGGGGCAGGGTCACAGGACATTCGCTCCCTGGCGAGGGCCGCCGCAGATGGGCGCGCATCCTTCCTGGCCTCTTTTGAGGTGTGAACTTGTAGCTATTAGTTATCTCTGGATATAAAATTTCAAATGCTCAAATATTAGAAACTTGCCAACTACACAGGAGTTTAGTTCTTAACCACTTATCTCTGAAGCGTGATCAAAGGCTTGGCAAATGAACGTCTAAATAAAAATGTATGACGCTGGAAGATGCCATCTACCCTCCTCGAGTCACTCCCAGTCTCTTCAAACTTGCTTTCCCCCCTCATTCTTGCCACTTTCTGGAGCAGTGCTGGAATTCTTTTTCCTGAGTGTATTTATAAGGTATGATCAAAAATTTGGTGACTACTGCTGCTGTATGCCATCGGATACAAAAGCAGGTTCATAAAAACATGCGTGTGGTCCTCATCCGTGTTATTCACCTGATCTTGCATGGGGTGACTCCCGGCTGCCCCCCAGCATCACGATGATCATGAGAGGGAAATGTCTGAGTCGATTCAGGACCTTGAGGTGGCCAGGACAGTGTAGCCAAAGGCACTCGGGAAAGAGGGCGCCAGAGCTGCGGCGGCCCTGACAAGAACGACGGAATATGTGTGCTCAAAGTGAGGGGAAGGATTTCGAGGGAAATCATGGCAATGTGACTTTTAAAATTTTAAACATTTTTTCAATCACACATCATAGATTGAAATCCATTTTTCCCATAAAGATGGGTGGTATATTAAAAACATGCCATAGAATACATATATTTTGATGCAGACCACTCAGAGTGGCTCTGAGCAGTATGTAGATGAACTGGTTTGCCTTCCATGTCTACTTGCCAGTCTGTCCCAGGCCTAGGCCCCTTATCTGTAGATGGGGTGCGGATTTATAATAAGTGAACTTCTGTGAGTTGCTGGTCCCACTGAGGCCTGTAAGGGCAGGTGAGGCCTGGTGGCCTCAAAGGATGAGACAAGGCCACAGCTGAGGACCCTGGCTCCAACCTCAATTGACAAGATAAGATGGCAGCTGCAGGCACCTCGCTCCTGGAGATAACACGGTTCTCCTAATTGATATGATGTCTCACTGGGGAAGTCCTTCAAGGGTCCTGCTCAGATTCCCACCTTTCTTTAGTAGTCCTGTCCTTTGTGTGCCAGCTAACCCAATACAGGCCGCCCAGAGCAGTTCTTCGTCTCAGCCCCCAGAGCATCTCAGGCTCCGCTAGGGAGTTTGGATCCTCCTGGAGCCCCAACATCACGCAGCCCCACTCATTTATTTAAGGCTTCTTCGTTCACTCATTTGGGAGACTGAGGCCTGATCAGTCCACAATGACTAAGGGATAATACTAATACGTTAATGATTATCCTAGATAAGTTGTACTTAATGGAAAGACATTTTCCTACCTTCTGTCTTCTGCTCATCAAAAGCTGACTCTAGTGGCGGGCCGAAGAGGGGCGCGAGGGCTGCAGTGTCGTCTGGAGGCTTTTTGCTAAATCATACATAGGAAAGCAAAACAAGAGAGGGCTCAACAGTTTACAGTGAAGCACACCCACTTTCAAATATTGTCTTGGTGAAACAAGAGGGTGTGTATGTCCCTGTGCTTGTGCATGATGTGTGTGCAGATGGGAATAATTGCACAGCTAGGAATAGGAAGCATTGCTTGGACGTGTCCGACCTGTTACGGGACAGGAGGACTCTTGGGAGACAAAGATCCCTAGTTCTCAGTGCAGGACCAAGGCTCCAGACGAGCAGAAATGAGATGAGGGAGAAAAAATCTCTCAAAGCCTCATGCTCCTTTATGTCTAGAAGAGATCATTTTATCCATGTGGGTTTGTTGTACAATGCTGGACTGTCCTAATATCTGAAGCCATTTGTGGGTGTCTCCGTCACATCTCTGTGTTGTGCAGCTCACAATCAAAGGAAGTGGATATTCAGGAAGAGGCTGCTGGGAAGTTCGGGTGTGAATGAGCAACTATGCCTCCAGCCTCTCTTATCTCCTCCCTCCCACTCAGTGGGCCACTCCCATGGCCCAATATTCCAGCACAGAGTGTCCCAGGGCGACAAGGGCCCTGAGATGTGGAGGGGAACGGGAGGGTAGGCAGACTCTCGCCCTTTCTCCTACTTGCTGACTTATACTGGTCCTTAAGAAAAGGAGAAAGATTTGGTGGTGCACTCCTGCAAGCCCAGCACTTGGGGACAGGCAGGTGGAGGGCCAGTTTGAGCCCAGGCTTGGTAAATTTAAAAAAAAGGATTAAGGAAAGGACTAGGGGTGTAGCTCAGTGTGAGGGCCCTGGGTTCAATTCCCTATAACACACACACACACACACACACTCATAGAAGGAAGAAAGAGGAGGAGGAGAAGGAAGAGAAGAGGGAAGAACAAAATGGTGCGCAACTTTCTACATTTCTTCTCCAAAGGTGATTCCCCTCACTGAACCTAAAGAGTTGAAGAACTTCTTCACATGTTGGTGAGGGGCAAATGTGGAGGAAGAGGAAGAGAAAGAAAAGCTTTTAAATGATCCAGATTTTAAAAAGAAAGGGCAGTCTTTGTAGAAACCCAAACTCATGCCTACAACTCTTCAGTGCACGAATTCGCTGGGGAGGACAACGTTCTGCTAGACCCAGCTAGAAGGTTCTCTTGGCATGGGCAGGTGGACCGAGTACATCGGGAAACAGCATGCAGTGAAGCCAGCCTTTCTGTGCGGGCCACGATGCCACTTCACATTGGCAGCTAAGGGACCTTAGTACACAGCCCTTCGGCCTCCTTGGTAGCGAGGGCCAGGCAGCTGGGCAGGCAGACACTCTAGTCTAGGGCAACACTGCCTCCCCAGTGGTCTTCTTGGGCTGTGCTTATGAGAAGAACGAGTTTGGGCCAAGCTATGAGTGTATGAACTTGTAGGGAAAGCCTTTCAGCAATAAAAGACAGAGCGGAGCTCAGAGGATGCCTGCTTAATTCTTAGAAGCCCGGTTGCCTGGCATAAAACACCAGCAATGTCTTTCGTGCTCACCTCAGGAGTTCTGGAGTTGGTGTGGAGCGCCTGGGTCTCGCCACTTCTTCACCTTATGCACAGGACAAAAGACCTGTTTAGGCCCACGTTTACCACTCCCTTTTCATATGTCTTACAAACTATGTTTGGAAATACATAGAGATTTAAGTCCCATCAATAAACAACTCAATCTGAAAACTTTCCAAAACCAGCCCTCCCCCAGCAGTGCAGTAGCCTATGTCTGGCACATGTAGTGGCGTTTTCTCTAATAGTTATAAAATCTCGTTAACCAAGGAACTCCCACAAGCAAAGCCAGGAGTGGAAGATTTGTATACTGCAGAGTTTAGGAACAGCACAGCAGCCTTCCTCCCTACCATAACAGAGTGCTAAGCCAGGCCATCTGCACACAGTACACGAATCCAGCTTTCCCTACCCATTCTTTTCTTGAAATTCCAAGAAAATGTTACATTTTTAGCTACGAATCATGAATTTAGAATTTCCTAGACTATAAGCAGCAGAGGAAATTATGCCTGTACACACCGTGACCTGCGTCAGACACCTCAGTGGACTATTGCACATCAAATTACGCTAGCGTATGCAGCTTGCTTTGGCCCTGCTCTGTGTCCACCCCTAGGTTATGCTCAGTTCTAAATGTAAACGATATAGCAAGAGTTGGCAAATAAGAGAAGAAAACAGCAACGCTTTGCCAAAAACATATTCTTTTTCTGAAATTTAAACACTAATCCTTCAGAACCCCCAGGTGACCCTTAATCATAAAATAAGGATTCCTTACTGTAAGAGATTTTTTTTTTTAAAAGTAAGCCTTATCAGTCAAAGCCAAGGCCGCATAGTTCAAATGTATATATCCACCAAGATCCAAGGACCTGCGTCTTCTTTTACATTGTACTCTATTTCTGGTAGCTAAGATATACTTACTGGATAAGTTCCTTTTAATTGCACCCTAGAATTAGAAATAGACACTATAAGGCTTAGGACCACATATATGTTAGTTACAACATGTATTATTTCTGTTATTGCAGTTAAACTCTACTCAAAGAAACGTAGGTAGGGACAAATGAAATTGTTCTCAGTGTGGCACTCACGAAACTTACACACACACACACACACACACACACACACACACTCACACACACACACACATCAATTCTCAGCTTTCAGTTCACTCAGAAGTTACGGCGAGGAAGGGAGGGTAAATCCTAAGGCTTCTGAAGGAGCCAACCCCTTACCTGGGTGGGTGAGGGACTTTAAGACAAGTATAAAACAGTCTATTAAAGAGAAAACCACTCTTGAATTGTAGCAGATAAAGAAGTAAATCCAAGTTTCCCATATGGTTGATATTTGGAAATTCTAAAATGTGTTTAGGAAAAGTAGTACCTGCTCTTCATGAGGTGGGACGCCTGAACCGTAATCACAAGTTACGAGCATGGTGTAAGAGAAAAGTGGTCAGTGTCAGAGGAAGGGGAATCTCCTTTAGACGGACCATCTTTTTAGGGAGCCAGGGAATTCTGTGCCATGCATGTGTCCCCTCCTCCGGGAGCTGCCCGCAGTCTATGAATAGGAAGCGAATTCTTTAGATCACGGTATTATGCTATTGAGATAGGAATAGCCAGGCAGGAGGAATACGTAATGTGAGCGGACCACTTCCAGATTTACAATGTCTCAGCAGAAACTCATTGAGACAGTAGAAGAATTGATTCAGTACAAAGTCTGGACTCAAGCAGAAGCTGCAAAAGGTTCTTAGCCTGGGGAGCTCGTAGAAAAGTAGAGCCCCAGGAGGGGCTTTGCCTTTGATATATATATATATATCAAAGGCAAACACTTCACATTCCTCAGTTCCCAGGTATGGCAATTCACTCCACATATATTTGTTATTGAAAGCACCAAAGAATTCCCTGCAATATTTTTATGAAGTTCTCTTCTTGAAGGAATAATCACCAGTTAAGTGCAGCCACACAGGGAAGAACTAGACAAAAAAA